GGGGTTGGCATCCAAGTGCTTCAGAAATGTTGTCATCCTCTTGACTTCCAGCCAGGTCCCAACCCAGGGGTGTACACAAGTCCCATAAAGGGCATTTGGGACCCGATGAAGCCTCCCTGGGTCCTGGTGTAGCTGGACATATAGATTGGATCCTGTCAGTGTCAGGGGGCCATGTCTGCACCTTGGTGTGTCCTCCACACACCAAGGGAGGTGCTGGCCCTCCCCCTCTAGTCACCTGCTTGGGATGTTCCCAGGACTTGGGGCAGGGGTATCCTGAGCAGGAGCCACTGACTGCTCCCAGTTCTGCAAGGAGTGGGTTGTGTTCTGACCACATCCCTTCCCAGCTTTTGAGAAGGGCAGGTGGTCTGGATCTGGAAGGCTGGGCAGAGCAAGGGTCCTCACCCTCTCCCCAGACTGGCCAGGAGCTGGCCCAAGCAGCCCCCAAAGCTTTGCTGAGTCTGGCAGGCAGGGCCTCCTGCTGCCCTGAGGCCACTCTGTGGGCCCAGGGTCTCCTCCCCAAGTTTTTGCCTCGGAGGCTGCCAGGGCTGCTGCACTTGCGTCTTTGCCGCCTTCTCTCCCGTCACAGTCCTGGAGATTCTTTCCTATTTATTCTGATTCCTGGCTATTTATTGCAGGTTGGCAAGTGCTTTGGGGTGGGGTGGGGGCTGGGAAGATAGGAGTCGGAAGCCTAGTCTTTTTGTTTCTCAAGGTCAACATTGACATCCTCCTCTGCTTCTGGGTCCTTCTGGATTTCCAGCAGGTCCTGGCTGGGATGGCTGTGAACTGGAGCTGAGTGTAGGGAAACCAGATAGCTGGTGTCCATGCCAGATTCAGAAACCCCGGAAATGGGGCAGAGACATACTCTTGCCAGCCTGGCCACCCTTCACCCAGAACTTGTCAGCTTTAGTTCCACCCCAGCTTTGCCCCCATCACAACTTGAGGCTTGGGCCACTGCCTGGGACCCAGCAGACACTGCCCAGGACACCCGATGCATTCCCTCCTACTTGTCCCTGGCTTCCTTCCTGGGACCATACTACTTGAATCACTGCGTCTGATTTTCCTCAGTGGGAAAGCTGAGTCCAGTGCCCTCCTTGTCCTTCAGATGAAGGTCAAGAGCCCAGAGACATGTCTTGGTTAAGCTGAACTCCCCAGTGGGATTCTGTCTGAGGAAGGGACCTACCCTTGATGCCTCCTCTCCAGATTCTCAAGGGAGACCCAGAGTCAGAGTGCCTGAGGCTTCTACTGGGAAGCTGCCCCAGGACCTTGGTCACTACAGCTTAAGCTGTGAGTGCAGAAGGTCTCAGTCCAGAGGGTCAGAGTGGTAATCTGGTTTTTTTTTTTTTTTCATGTGTTTTGTTCTTTGAATCAGTGCTGTTGATGATGAGTTGTCTTTAATAAATCATGTGTTCTTTACAGTGGGCATTGGTGCTTGATGGGTTGACACCTCTGAGACACTGGAACAAGGGAAAAAGTAGGGGCAGGGATGGAGTCATAGTCTCTTAGAGCAGTCTAAGGAAAAGGCCAGGAAGTCCTTGTTGGGAGAGCCTGTTCAGTTCTTCTAATCCCACTACAGTGATCTGTAGCTGGGGGAGGGGGGAATGTGAATGTAGGAAGACAGTGCCACATAATTACATAGCAAGTTGGATTTTAAAACACTGGGCACAATGGCACACACCTGTAATGCCAGTGACTTGGGAGACTCGAGACAGGAGGATTGCAAGTTTAAGGCCAGCTTTAGCAATTTAGCTAGGCCCTGTCTGAAAATAGCTTGGTGGTCGAATGTTCCTGGGTTCAGTCCCCAGCACTGCAAAACACAAACGTACACATGCACACTTAGGTAATTTCATTAGATGCAGAAAAAATGTATTACAAAATTCAATATTTTTTTCATGATTAAAAACTTGACAGATGAGGCATAATAGGAATATACTCAATTGAATAAAAGCGATAGATGAGAAACCCCCAGCTAACATCCTACTCAGTGGCAAGAAGTTGAAAACTTCCTCTTAAGACCAGGAACAAGACAAGGATGCTCATTCTTGCCACTTGTATTCAAATAGAACTGGAATTCCTAGGCAGAGCAGTTAGGCAAGAGAAAGAAGTCATCCAGATAGGAAAGATTTAAAATTTTCTTTGGACAATATGATCTTGTATGTAGAAAATCCTAAAGACTTCACCAAAACAGTGTGAAAAAAATAAGAAAATGCAGTAAAGTTGCACGATACAAAGTCAACGCAGTCTGGGGTGTAGCTCAGGGTAAAGCTGCTGCTTAGTACGCACAGGGCCTCAGGTTCAGCCCCCATTGCAAAAACCAAACAGGTCAGTAGCATTTTTTAATTTTCTATATTTTTTTGGAACTGGGAGTTGAACCCAAGGATGCTTTACCACTGACCCACACCCCCCAGTTCTTTTTATTTTGAGTTAGCCACTCACTAAGTTGCCTAGGCTGGCCTCAAACATGTGATCCTCCTGCCTCAGCTTTTCAAGTTGCTGGATCACATGTGCACTGCCCTGTCTGGCTAATCAACATTTCTATACATTAACAAACAAAAAAGAAAATAGTTGGTATGCCACAAAATTTCAAGTACTTCCAGAATAAATGTTTTGCTTTAAAGTGCTGGCGATGGAACCCAGAGACTCTCGAATGCTAGGCAAGAAGAGCTCTACCACTGGGCTACACCCCAATCCCAGGAATAAATTTAACCAGGGAAATGAAAAATCTGTGCATTGAATATTATAAAACTTTGAAAGAAATTGAAGAACATAAATAAATGGAAAGATCTCAAGTTATGGATTGGAAGAATTATTTGTTAAAATGTTCACATTATCTAAAGCAACGTACAGATTCAGTGCAATCCTGTCAAAATTTCAACGTGATTTTTCACAAGCAAAATAATTTTTATTTTTTGGGGTGCTGGGGATTGAACCCAGGGAGGCTTTACCACTGATGTAAATCCCCAGCCCTTACTTTTTTTAAATTTTTGAATCAGGGTGTGGCTACATTGCTGAGGCTGATATGGAATGCTCATTTCTCCTGCCTCAGCCTCCCTAGTTTCCAGGACACTGGCATATGCCATTACACCTGCTGCCAATCCTAAAATGTGTATGCAATCAATCACAAAAAATCCCAGATAACCAAAGCAATCTTTTTTTTTAAGAGAGAGAGAGGATTTTTTATTTAATATTTATTTTTTAGTTTTCGGTGGACACAACATCTTTGTATGTGGTGCTGGGATCGAACCCGGGCCGCACGCAAGCCAGGCGAGCGCGCTACCGCTTGAGCCACATCCCCAGCCCAACCAAGGCACTCTTGAACAAAAGGAAAACTGGAGGGGCTGGGGATGTAGCTCAGTGGTAGAGAGCTTGCCTACCATGTATGAGGCCCTGGCTTTGCCCTCTTAACAGGAAAAAAAAAAAAAAAAAGTGCTGTGGGTATCACACTACCTGACTTCAAAATATAGAAATATCAACCAAGAGCTGGGCATGGTGGCGCATGACTATAACCCCATAGAGGCAGAAGCAAGAGGCCGCCAGTTCAAAGCCAGCCTCAGCAATTTAGAGAGGCTCTAAGCAACTCAGTGAGACACTGTCTCTAAATAAAATACAAAATAGGGCTGGGGATATGGCTCAGTGGTCAAGTGCCCCTGAGTTCAATCCTTGGTTCCCGCCCCGCCTCCCAATATCAACCAAGAGAATAGAAAGCCCAGAAATACACATTTATAGTCAATTGATTTTTAAATTTGTCTTTTGAGACTGAACCCAGGGACAATTTACTGCTGAGAGAGGGCCTAAATTGCTGAGGCTGGCCTCAAACTTGCAATTCTCTCACCTCATGCTCCTGAGCCCCTGGGATTACAGGCATCTGCCACTGTGCCTAGCTTTTTTTTTTTTTTTTAATTTTTTGAAAGACAAGGTCTAAGACACCCAGGCTGGCCTTCAATTTCCCATCCACCTGAGCATCCTGAGTAGCTGGGATTACAGGCATCACCATGCCTGGTGGAGGAATAAGTTTTTTTCTGAAATCAATTATTGCACAGTATGGTGACTGTGGTTAATAATGTGTATTTTAAAATTGCTAAGAGTTATTTTAAATGTTTTCATCACAAAAGTAAGCATTTGAGATGATGGATATGTTAATCATTCCACATTGCATACATATATTAAAATCACATTATACCTTGTAATATATACAATTATATTTTAACAAGTTACAGAAAACTTGGAAATTCAAAAGGAGGTAATAAGACATGCCCTGCCCCTATCCTACAATCTAGAGAAAATACCTGAAACATATAGATTTTTATTGCATGTAATTTTTATTTCATAATGTTGCAGTAATTCACTTGCAGGTCAGCATGGGAAAAGAAAGAAGAAGCAGAGCAAGCAAAGCAGCAGCAGCAGCAGAAAAAAAAGTCCTTTATTGTGTACAAGCAATCTTTTTATAGTATTGTGAACAAAGAAGGCAGCCTTCCAACATCAATAATTAAACATAGCATACAGAAGTTTTACTTTCTAATCAGAAGTGACCCCTTCTCATGGCTAATCTATTTTCGGCCCAGAGTATGTTGAGCTCTGCTCTTTGTTAAGAACAGATAATAAAATTTTTCTCAGCGCCCTCCTAGCCCACTTGGCAGAACATCCCGTTTGCAGGCAAGTCTTCCCAAGGACAGCAGGCACCTCGTTTTCAAGCATGTCCGCTGTTACCTTATCTAAACCTTGAAGGAGCCTCTCCTTTACAAGTAGGCCCTCCCAAGGACAGCAGACACCTGGTTTTCAAGCATGTCTACTGTTACCTATCTATACCTTGACAGAATATCCCGTTTGCAGGCAGACTCCATCAAGGACAGTAATAGTAACAAAGTTACATCTGATTCTCTACACATAATTATTATTTTCTTGATTTATCGTGTTTGTGTATTGTTCTTCCCTCACCTTAGGTGGTGAGAAAGTTACTGTATGACTTTAAAATATTTAATGGCCTAAATTCTGTTCTAAGTACAAAAAAGAAAAAAATACCCTTAACCAGTTCCTATTTTAACATTTGCCATCGCAGCCTCTATCATAAGCCGTACTGCGCTGAGCATGTGTTTCAACTCCTTGGGTTCTCAGCTTATTTCCCCAGCTCAGTCCTCTAAGTGGGTTGAAAGATGTGAACCCTTTTGAAGCTTTTCACACACACTATGAAAGCTGCCTTCTGGAATCTCTGTACCAAGTTTCCGTTCATCCAGCAGCTGGCCTCTGCTGCCTGCGTCCTTGCTCCTCACGCCAGGTAATAAGGAAATCGTTGGCAATCTAGAAGTCTTGGTTGTTTTGTGGTGTACTGATCAGGAGATCTCCGTCTCGGAGTCTGACAGACCTGGGGTCCTGTCCGGGTTCCGCCAACTCCCCTGGGGCAGTTGTGAGGATTAAATTAAGTGATAAAAACGCTTTACAGTCCCGCGTGAGCCTCAGGTGGCGCTGGCGCGGAGCGCCTCACACAGGCGCAGAGGGGAAGGTCCGAGGCGGTGGTGCAAGGGGTGAAGGCGGAGCCATACCTTGGGCCTGAGACTTAAAGGGCAAAGAAAGGGCGCCGGGCACTCACCTGGGGCCTGTCCCACTTCCTTTGGTTCTGAGTCCCAAGCCCTTGGAAGTGTTTGCCAGCGGAGGGAAAGGACATTCCACCCTCCACGACCCCCACCCTGCGTCAGCCCTGCTGTGGGCCCCGCGGTGCGACTATGCCCCTTTAAGAGCGCCGGGGGTGGGTAGGCCCCAGGTCGCGGCGTGCGCTCAGCCTGCGCCGCATCCCCTCGCGGAGCTGCTCGGCCATGGCGCTGCGGGTCGGCCTGACCCTGGCGCTGGGCGCGGGGCTGGGTGCGGCCGCCGAGCACTGGAGGCAGCGACGGGCAGACGCGCAGGCGACGCCGGGGCTGTTGGGGCGGCTGCCCGTGCTGCCCGTGGCTGCGGCGGCCGAGCTGCCTGCCGTGCCCGCTCTGCCCGGGGGACCAGCGGGCCGCGGGCCCGGCGAGCTGGCCAAGTACGGGCTGCCCGGCGTGGCGCAGCTCAAGACCCGAGATTCGTACGTGCTTTGCTACGACCCGCGCACCCGCGGCGCGCTCTGGGTGGTCGAGCAGCTGCGGCCCGAGCGACTCCGCGGCGACGGCGACCGCCGCTCGTGCGACTTCCGCGAGGATGACTCGGTGCATGCATATCATCGCGCTACCAATGCCGACTACCGCGGCAGCGGCTTCGACCGCGGCCACCTGGCTGCTGCCGCCAACCATCGATGGAGCCAGAAGGCCATGGACGACACCTTCTACCTGAGCAACGTCGCGCCCCAGGTAGCGCTCATGCCCTAGACCGGGCTGCGGAACGCGGGGCCAGCGTCTCACCTCCCTGAGCCTGAGGCTGTTTGCCCAATGCGCGCTCCAGGTCCTAAGCGTATAGAGCGCTCCGGGCGGGAGGGAGGAGCCCTGGGGCTCTGAGCATGGGCTGTGCCTTCAGACGTGGGCTTGAACTTAAAAAACTGAGCCCTGGGCACCTCCTTGTTCTTCAGTTTCTTTCTCTGTAAAATGGGGATGAGCCCGGGACGGTGGCGCATTCTTACAATTCCAGCAGCTGGGGAGGCTGAGGCAAGAGGATCGCCAGGGTCCAGCCTGGGCAACTTAGTGGAGACCTGCCTCAAAATAAAAAGCTGGGGTGTAGCTTAGTGACAGAGCTCAGGTTTCATTCCCAAAAAATAAGTTAAATAAAATGGGGATAAAGCTTCTGTTTACCTCCTTGCAGTAGTGATGAGTCAAAGCGCCCAGCACTGTTCATGGCCCACTGATCATTGGCTACACTGAGGGAACAGGCTCAGAAGGTTGGAGTAACTTCGTGGTCCACACAGCAGAAGGAGAATCCAGGCGGCAGTCTAGAGGAGCTGAGACTTCAGCCCTGTGTGCCTGTGAGCAGTTACCAGGAACACTACTAGCAAGTGGGCAGGCAGGCAGGCAGGGTGTCACTGCCACTCACTACATCCTAGACCAGCTGCTCTACCTCTGGCTGGGTTCCCAGCAGAGCCTGGCACCCAGGATGGAGACAGATGGGCTCTGCGTGAAACCCATGAACACAAGCCTCCCACCCAGCTTCTTTCCCATGCACAATCCTCTATCCATTTTTCCTAGACCTTGTCCTGTGATCTCACTGTCGTTGAGGGCACAGAATGGTGAAATGGAGGGCTCTCCTGGAGAGCTCAAATGGCTCTCAGTGTCCTCAAAGGGGGAGAAGTTCTCCTTTCTTTGTGTAGCTCTTTGAGCTAGAAAATGATTTGTGAGAGTGGGGGTGCAGGAGGGATCCTTGTCAACCCTGCCCAGGCTCTGTCCACCTTGTAGCCACAGGACCTCTATTCCTTCCTTGAGCTTGTTTCCTCTGCCTGCATGCCCCCCACCCCACCCCTGGGCTCAGAGCAGCTCTGTGGCAGGGGGGAAAGGGTCCCAGGCATGATCCCACTCTGGTTCACTTCTTCCACCAGGTGCCCCACCTCAACCAGAATGCCTGGAACAACCTGGAGAAGTATAGCCGCAGCTTGGCCCGCACCTACCAAAACGTCTATGTCTGCACAGGGCCGCTCTTCCTGCCCAGGTGAGGTCCCAAAAGTCATCACTCATCTGTTTCTGCCTTGGGCCCTCATTCCTCCTCTGCAGCGAATCCTTTGGATGCCCTCCTTAGACCAGCTCTCTGTGGTCACAAGGCCCTGAACCTCCCCTTGCTGCTCTCCTGACACCTCCTGCCTCATGTCCTGCAGGGATGGAAGCCCTCACTGTTCTCGCACCAGGCTCTTGCTTTCTGTCTCTGCTCGGCTTGGAGTGACCCTTCCCTGCCCTCCAATCTGCCTGATCTGGGCTTTCACTCCAGTCCCTCTGCACCTCTGTCTCCCAGGGTAGAAGGGCTAAGCTCCTGTGGTCAGGCCCAGTGATGTTTCTGGTGCACCGAGGACAAGGCCAGGTGAGGCAGTAGGTCACAGCTAAGCAGTTGCCTCTCAAGTCCACAAACATGGGATGGAATCCAGGCCTTACATCTAGTCCCTAGTGCCATGGGTCAGTGACCTCAATGTCTTTCCTTATAAAATGGGATTACAACATGTGATCTCATTGTCGTTGAGGGCACAGAATGGTGAAATGGAGGCAACACTGCTGAGAAGCCAGTCGCCCATCCAGTGTCCCCACACCTACATGTATCTTATGCTGGCACTGGGGTTTCCGCTGCCTTGGCCTTTGCCCTCTTGGTGCACTGCTACAAGACAGGCAGCCAGAATGTGTCCGTGCTAGTGAACTGAAGATGAGAGGACTGATTCTTTCAGCAGCATTTATTGCCACCCACTCCGCCTGACTCCTGTGGGTTCCAGCCTCAAGGGGGAGCCGGACAGGGCACAGAAGCCTCACAATGAGGGGGTGATCTGGTGGGGGGCAGAAGGTGGAGGTCAGACAAGGGAAGGCTTCCTGGAGGAAGCATCCTTGGGTCCATCCAGGGCCCTTGGTCATGTACACCTGGGTCTGCCCACAGGACGGAGGCTGATGGGAAGTCCTATGTAAAGTACCAGGTAATTGGCAAGAATCACGTGGCAGTGCCCACACACTTCTTCAAGGTGCTGATCCTGGAGTCAGCCGGTGGACAAATTGAGCTCCGCTCCTACGTGATGCCGAACGCACCCGTGGATGAGGCCATTCCCCTGGAGCGCTTCCTGGTACCCATTGAGAGCATTGAGCGGGCCTCAGGGCTGCTCTTTGTGCCAAACATCCTGGCACGAGCAGGAAACCTTAAGGCCATTACCGCTGGTAGCAAGTGAGGGCAGCAGCCTAGAGACTGGGGGCCTAGGCCTAGGGCCTGGATTGCATTAAAGAAGGTTATTTTTGGAGAGAAGTCTTGGCTGTGGCTGTCCTGATGGCCTGCAGCAGCCCCTCTCACGGCTGCTTCACCCATATCCGACACTCATGGGAACTTTAGGTGGTCTGAGTGCCTGCCTGGGTGAGGCTGGGCTGCAGGGCTGCCAGAGAGATGAGTATGGCTTCCTGGAAGAGAAGAGAATGCCAGACTGGGGCCGGGGAGGCAGGGGGGTGCCAGCTCCTACCTGACCACCCCAGGCCCCGCCCCATGAGCTGACTGCTCTTAGTGGGCCCTGGGAGGTTAAGGGCCAGCCAGGTTCATCCTGAGATCTGCCTTGTGGCAGGCAGCACGCCCTGCTCTTGTGTACTCTCTAAATTGGGCATGACAGTACTAATGCCAGCCTCCCTGGGCTGGGGAGGTGATGCTGTGAGCAGAGTTCTCCACCTTCCCTGAATGGGTGTCAGGGGTGGGGTCAGGTTTCTGCTGTGGGTATGGCTGGCAGGCTCAAGCACTTGGGCAGGGCGGGCCTCAGGGACAGGGAGACCAGGGCTGTCCATCTGTGAAGCTACCACCCCACTGAGACTGACAGGCAGTACAGCCTCTGTCACGAAGACAGCATTCTGTGCGAGAGGTGAGCGCACTGAGGCTTTCAGCTCTAATGGCACAATGCTTCCTAGTGGACAGGGATGCAGGTGACACCTGAAGGGACAGCAGCCATACCCATTGAGGTCACAGGAGAGGAGGTGGCAGAGCCGGAGCCACTGAGGAACACTAAGTATACAGTAATAGAAACAGAAGCCCACACAGGGATGCACAGGTTGCCTGGGTCCCCATTGGGAGCACAGGACTAACACTGGCACCCAGGATTCAGGACCCCTCCTGCACTGCACTCATCTCCCTGCCACAGTTTGTGTTAGTGAGGGGTGAGGAGTCCCTTTCCAGTGAAGGCATGTTGGCCAGGATGGGCTACGAGGCCAGCTGCTAACTACCTTGGACAGATCTGAGGCCCCAGCTGCTGGCTGGAGGTCAACACAGGTGGGCTCACCTCAGTGCGAATGGTGCGACTGCCCTGGTTAGGGCATGTGTTGACATACAGGTCGAAGAGAACACTGGGTTCGGTCACCTCCAGGTTGGGGTCAGCATCCACTCCAGCTTCTAGCCCTTGGAGGCCCCCAAACACTACCACTGCGTGCCTGTCACCCAGAGGGGGAATCAGTAACTATTCACCAAGGCCCCACGGAACACAGTCCCAGAGTACAGCAGGGGCCCAGCCTAGGCAGCTTGGCCCCACCAGGCAGGTACCTGCCTCTTTTTCTTCCCCTGGCCTCTGTCCCCTGTCCCCTGCCACAGGCAGCACCCACCTGAAGCTGGGCAGCTGGGCAGAGGCCACATCTGAGCCACGCTCTGACGTCCCAATGGTCAGGTCATACCCGTCCTGAAAGGGCGCCTCAGAAAACACAGCACCTGGGGGTGAGGCCAACTCAGTGGGAGTCTTGCTCTTGGCTGTGTGTTCATTACATTGAAGGGGTAGGGTGGAGCTGGGGCTCAGGTAAGGGGGCCCTCCACTACTCTTGAGAAGTCAGAACTGGGCACAGTGGAGACCAAGCCTGCAATTAGTTGGGGAAAAAACAAGGTGGGCAGGAAGCAGCTCTAAGAACATGGAGAACTTTGATCCTATTGTCCCTATCTGAGACATCATCAGTCAACTCTGATACTTTTCCTTAGAAGTCCTCAAGAACATTCTAGGCAGTGCATTCAAGGAGACCAAGCTAACAGAAAAGACAGTTGCCCAGGACACACTCAGTATGGTAGGGCAAGGACTGTGTTTTGACTTGTGGGTCAAGGAAGGCTCTCTGCCACCTCCCAGACAGAGGGCTGGCTGGACATTCAGAGAGAGAAACTCTGTCCTTACTGAGGCAGGAGGCTAGCCGGACTGTGTAGCCCCAGTAGAGACCGGCTTTGGTGCGAGGGTCCTGTGATGACACAACTGTTCCCCGGTAGGTCTTACATTCTGGAAGGGAAATAGAGAAGCTGTGACAATGAGCCAAGGGGAAGGGAGGTGGAGGGAAATTTGGAGACGTGGGGCTGGCTAGGCCACCATAAAAGTTAAGGAAGCTTCCAGATACCTGGGAGCTGCTTCTGGTTCAGTCTCACAGTCACTCGAAGTCCAGGCTCCAGGTTCTTGTCAATCTTCACCTCCTGGGGAGAGGCCAGAAGAAATGGATGCTGTTTCCCACCACAACCAGTAGGAGGCATTGCCCTCTGAGACCCTGCTGGGGGAACGGCAGGGCTGGTATGGGACCCAAGGGGTTCGGGTCAATTTACAATCCTCCTGCTTTGGAATGGGCTAGACCTGTTCATAGTACTATCACAAGATACTGGTCAGAAATGAAGGCTAGGGGCTTAGCACACACAGGGAGTTTTCCCCAATAGATGAAATCCCAGTTTTCCACATTTTGATCATTTTGCTAATTACTGGCTATAGTAATTTGAGCAGGTCACTTAGCCCCTGAACCTCAGTTTCCACATCTGTCAAACTGAAAACCCTTCCACAAACAACAGCTATTCTTAAACTTCTCAAGCTCTGGCATGAAGTAAATGGTTAAACGTTAGCTGTGATGAGTGACAATTATTTGTGTTCTGCCCCAATTTGGAATTTATCACCCTTGGTGGGCACTCTCTTATCATTCTGAGAGTTTCTCATGCTTTTCCCTTTTGTTTGTGTCATCCTGGTCTGCTTTTAGCCATTCGTGTCTGGTCTGTTCTTTTTTTTGGGGTGGGGGAATCCCACACACTTCATTGTTTCTGTCTCTGACTCCAGGGGACTTGAATGAACAGGAAGTAAATTAGTGTTCTACTCCCAAGCTTGGCTCTGTGTCACACTGGAGTCTGAGTGGTTTTCAGTTTGTTATTACAGGGTTCTGATTTGTTTTTGTTTTTTTAAATATTTTTTTAGCTGTAGATGGACACAATACCTTATTTATCTTCATGTGGTGCTGAGGATCAAACACAATCCTCACCTCTGCTAGGCGAGCGCTCTACTACTGAGCCACAACCCCAGCCCCCTCTGACTTATTTTTGATCTGCTTTTAAAAAAACAGTAAAGCTGGGGTGCAGCTCAGTGGTAGGGCACATGTTTAGCAGGCTTGGGTCCAATCCTCAGCACCAAAAATAAATACGTAAAAAATAGTACATTTGCTCCTGCCTTATCTCTTAAGTCTTGTTTTGGGCTCTTCCCTGGCCCAAATATGCATCAATGGGGCTTTATAGTCAGGTCACCCCACCTACATGCCCTGCCTACCCTCCATAGCTGGCGTGTGTCCCTGAAGTACATCACAGCTCACCCCCCGAGTTCTTACCTTCTTCATTCCACAGTTAACAAAAGAGCCATGGCCTGGTCGGGTGGGCCTGTCTACCACGATGCCTTCTCGGAACTCGGATTCCTCATCCTGGCGCATGTGGTGAGGGCTGTCCAAGGGGTTCAGGAGCCCTGGAGGGGGTGGCAGGAGGAGTCTGGGAAGTGCATGCAAGGATAAGGCCAGGACCCTGGTTTAAGTCGCAGCTCTGCCACAGACCTGCAGCTTGACATTAGGCATGACATTGCCCTCCTGGGCCTGCCTTCCCCTGAATACCTGGTAGGGGACTGGATGCTTTTCTCGTGTCTGAGGGGTGATCTATGGGAAGAGGGATCAGGCCTACCAGGCTTACCTGCAAACTGTAGATCCTGGTGCTTGGGGAAGAATGCCTTTCTCAGGTACCTAGTAAAGAATGCAGATCTCAGTAAGTTCCCAGGGGAAGCCACCTCCTAGCTCACCTGCATGTTGATCCCATACACCCCCCCACCCCACCCATGACCAAGGAAGTCACTGCTTACTGTGGACACTCCAGGTACTGCAGGATACGGGCCAGCTGTACACATGCCTGCCCCTTCTTGCCGACTCCCTTAAACTCTCCTTCCACAGTCCTGGAGAGAAAGACATGACTCAAAATCCAATTTCTGGCTTCGGATATAGCTCAGTGATAGAGTATATGCCCTGAATTCAAAATCCAGCACAAAAACCAACCACACAAACAAAAGCAAACAACAGTCTCATTCTAGAGCTCCTCCCAACTAATGTGACCTCTGTGGTCATTGCCCATGCCTGGCCAGTGGACCCACTAAGGATTATACTGCAGCATTTTAGACTCTGGAAGAGTTGGGCAGGTGGAAAGAGTGAAGTCACAGCCAACCCTGGCAGCCCCTTCCTCCTCCCTGAGCTCCCAGGCCCTTGGGATGGCCTCTCACTTGGCATCGTGACCCTCCTCATCGAACACCACAATCTCATCCACACAGAAGATGGCACAGGCTCTGGCAATCTGGCCAGCCAAGTAGGTACGAAGCTCAGGTGACTGGGCATTGTCCAGGATAGAGCCTGGCAGGGCCACGCTCAGAGTGTAGGGCCGTCCTAGGCAGCAGAAGAGGGTGTTGTTAAGCATGCATTATTTATAATGGGAAGACAAAGAAACAACTTCATTGTGAAATAAAAATTAAATGAAAATGAAATTGAAGCATTCAGAAAGCTCAATAAGAAAGTAAAAACAACAACAACAATCATTAATACCATGAAATTTTAGTCTGGGGATGTAGTTCAGCATGTGTGAGGGCCTGGATTCCATCCCCAGCAGAAAGAAAAAGAAGAAAGAAGAAAAGCAAGGCAGGGAAGGAAGAAAATGTCAAGGTTCTGGAGGACAAAAGTTAAGAGACATGATGCTTGAAATCTACTTAAGTAGGAGGTTAGGACTCAGTAAAGAGTCCCTCCTCTTCTCTGGGCCTCAGTTTCTATCAGGACGTTTGGACCCAATGGTCACTTGAGACTCTTCCAGATATGACATTCTCTGCTCTGCCTGCAGGACATCTGCTGAAGCCATATCCTGTGCCCCTCCCCAGGACTCAGCCACACACCTTGGTTTTCCCTCTGGGCAGCTGCCTCCTCCTCCTCCTTCTGTCGCTTTGTCTGCTCCTCTTGTGCCCGTTGCTTCTCCAGTTTTTTT